GGGGGCGTGTTAGTGAAAAAACTGAGAACCCCTGCTTAGAGCAGATGCGAAAGAGTTGTTGGAAAGTAGTTGTTTCAAGCTGCACACCCGGTTTAAACTTCTACTGCCCTTTTTCTTTTTCTCTTTCTTTTTTCTTTTACGACTTGACTGTGGTCGCCGGGATTATTTGGCAACACGGTGGCCAGTTCCCCCACAAGGTTAAAGCATAGGGGAGGGAGGGAGGGAGGGGAGGGGGGTGGGGGTGGAGTGCATAGATGTTATAGAAGATATAGAGGGGGAAATAATAGTCTGATACATGCACCCTTCGCAGCGCGTGCGCCCGTGTGTGATCTCTCTGGACCGTCTGATCCAGCTCACTGAAATATCCAAATCATTCCACAAATTTATTGTCCGTGTGGTTGTCCTGCTTTTGTGTCCTGCGTGTGTGTGTGTGTGTGTGTGTGTGTGTGTGTGTGTGTGTGTGTGTGAACACTTAGTGGTCTTTGTGGTCGCGCGAACAGCCTGTGAATATGGATCAGGCCCCCGATTGGTTCGACTCGATCCGATTATAAATCTGAAAGGAATGTGATTTATGAGAGAGAACAATAAATATATTTCTTTGCATAGAAAAACCGAGTTTTTATAATCGATGCCTTAATAAAAGCCAACACCACCAAGAGGGATTACGCAAGAGAGGCGTAGACCTGCAGGTAGAGAGAGAGAGAGCGAGAGAGAGAGAGAGAGAGAGAGAGAGAGAACGGATTGACATGTATAGTAGCCTATTTAGTTTGAGCCCATATTTCTTGGGCTGCGCTGTTGTGTGTGTGCACGCGGGTTATCGTGTGTGTGTGAGAGAGAGTTTATTGCTTATGTTCTTGGTTGTATTTTTCAATGGGACAGCAGACGGGTTATATAGTCTTTACAGGACTTTTGTGGCTTCATGATTATGGTCGTAAAATAGAAATAAATAATAAAAAATAATAATAATGAAAAAATACAGGTCTGCATTTTCACCTCGAGCTGCTTCCTCATACCAGCCATATCAGAGTCACATCTGGTACAGAGAGCGGTAATACTATTAATAATAATAATAGCTAATTCACGTTTACGCACTATACTTTTCTTCCTCAGTGCCCCCCGGCAATGTGTGTGTGTGTGTGTGTGGGGGTGTGTGTGTGTGTGTGTGTGTGTGTGTGTGCGTGTGTGTGTGTGTGTGTGTTGATCTGCGTTCCTGTTTGTCAGTAAATTGTCACAATATACACCTTTAAAGCCTCTGTTATATTGTCGCCTATCACTTGCGCTCCGCCGCTCCCCTGTAAGCGTAACGGCCCTTTTTTTCAAATCCTCACCCAGCTCTTAAATACTACCGGCGGGGGGGGCGACGACGTTAGTCAGGGGCTCAGTCCTTTTTCTCTCGACCAACGATGACAGTGATCAGTCCCATGATTAATAGTTGTCGAACACTTGTGCTCAACAGCGTGCTGGTCCGGGCAGCTCAGATCATCCAGAGAGGGTTCGAAAAAGAAAAGAAAAAAAAAGCCAAAATAGGAAACCAGACGCGTCAAGTCCGAGAATGCTGCATAGGTGCGCAGTTACAGCCCGGGTACGGTTTGATTGGATGACTCGGTTTTAGAAATGTATAAGCAGGGGGGGGGTAGGCCGCAGAAATCCCCCTTTAACGAGGGGGTTTGCATTTCATAATTTGTACCATAAAGAGGGATCTCGCCTCCTCCACACTTCTCATGCTATAAGAAGGAGGCTCTCCCACTCGGCGGACATGATCTACCCCCCCCCCCCCAAGATGTAGGTTTAGCAGTCTAAACTGAGCCGTTTTACGACTGTGACTGCGATTTAGAAAAAAAAAAAAGAAAACAGAATAAAATGTGATTAGGCGGCAGAGTGGGTGTAATGGCACCAGTGTCCTTTGCCTCGGCATGTCTTAAGTCGAGTGGAAACCTCGTTTCTCCTTCCTCCAAAATGTCAACTGCCAACTCCCGCGCGTTTGTTTAGGGCTCATCTAATTGGCTCCGTAAAAGGTTTCATATATAACAGGTCTTAAAAACGTTGCGAGGCTTGTAACATTTTCCCAGACCGTCAGAGAGCAAATAAATTATACAAATTGTAGGATTTATTCCTTACACAAAAGCTGTTTTGCTCTGCCTATAAGTTGGAGCGAAATGTATCGTCATGTGCAATGGGAACCGGGTTTGGGGTTAAATCTCCCATGCATGTTGGCTCCTTCAAAAAAAAAAAAATATATATATATATATGTATATATCTGTATCAAAGCGTCCATGCTGTCATTTCATCCAGCAAAATTGTTTCACGTTTCCTTATAATTCATGGCTGGTGACAGCGGCGAATGTGGCGCCGGCTTCCATTTTTAGTCCCTACAGCACGAAATCACGGCGCCAGCTCGGTGACAGATCACACATACAAGACATTCACATCACTTACAAGTCCGCACATTTCCATAAAGACTCTCTTGTCTGCTTCTTGTGGCTGCTTTACCATAATGTGCCCAAAGACGGGCACTATATGTGGAAATGTGGGAAGACGAGTCACAGCACTTCTTTATTAAAGCATCCTGCTGAACTTAACTTTGTGGTATATATATATATATATATATATATATATATATATATATATATATATAATGGATGGAGATATGTTTCACCCTACCCTCAGGGTCCATACAATGATATCAGTGTAGATAGATAAAACCTGCATGCGCTTCCGTCGAAGGTATTACCTTCTCTCTTAATTTAATCCAGAAACTTCACTGTACTGGAAGGAGTGTGTGTGTGTGTGTGTGTGTGTGTGTGTGTGTGTGTGTGTGTGTG